TGCTGCATTCGCCATACACACAAGGGACAGCAGTGAGCACACGGCAGCCACATGCAGGGGAATCTTAACAAGTCCTGTAGAATTAAATACAATGCTACCACAGACCACTTTCTAATGTGGCATGACTTGAATTTTATAGTAAAATTTTCTTTCATCAGTTCACATCTTTTAATTTCCCAACCAAAACATGACCAAGGACTTCCCAATGAGCAGCTGTGAGGCAGTAGGAAAGGTGGCTGAGGCACCAGCTCATGGAGCTCTCAGTGTGTAGGCGATGAAGCCAGAATTTCCTAACAGTCAGAGCCTCCACCTGGAGACCAGGCTGGAGACAAAACCTGCAGGAGGAGGGGTGATGGTTTTGTGGGTTTCAGAGCCCCGACATGGCAAAGATAAACTGATGGGGCAAAGAAAGGTAGAGGAATTTCTCTGCTTTTTCTCCAAAAAGAGCAAGAGCTCATTTATAAAATTATCATTGCTGGGGTGGTGGTTCCTGCCTATAATCCCAGCACTTTGGGAAGCTGAGGCGGGAGAATTGCTTGAGTTCAGGAGTTTGAGACCAGCCTTGGCAACACAGCAAGACCCCATCTTTCAAAAATATATATATATACAAAAATTAGCCAGGCATGCTGGTGCATGCCTGCAGTCCCAACTAGTAGGAAGACTGAGGTGGGAGGGTGGCTTGCGCCTGGAAGGCGGAGACTGCAGTGAGCCGCTGTACTCCAGCCTGGGCAACGGAGCCAGACCTTGTCTCAAAACAAGATAAAACAAACACAAAAAACCGCCAAGAAAACAAATCATTATTGCACCCTGGAATGAGAGCAAAATGACTTCTGAGAGCACACTATGTGGGTGCACACACAGGGCCTGGCCCCACAGGAGTATACCTAGTATACACTCCACACTGCTCAGCGATAGAATAAAGACAACCATAGCATCTTGTGTTCTACAGAGGACTTTACAAAATGATCTTGGCAGGTATCAGATTCTTACAGAACACTAGGGGAGAGGCAGGTAGGTAATTATACCTCTTTTCACATTCCTAGACAGTACATGGTATGCCCACTGACTGCAGACAGAAGCCTGAACCAGGATTCTGGAGTCCAGGCCCCCAAGGGCACCAGTTGGACAGTAATAGGAGAGTGACCCATTACCTTCAGTGTCCACAGAAATATTCCTCCTGTGACATCAATAAACAGGGTGCGGAGGGCGCCAGAGTTTATGTCATCTTCTGTCCTGTCTCTACCTTCCTCTGTCTATACGTGTATGTATGTTCACATGGGTTGTACAAACTATATAGGATGGATCGCATGTCCTATTCAAAGTTCAATTGAGCAGGCATGTTCTCTAGAACCACATACTAAAAACTCACACTGAAAGTTACCAGACATGAATAGGAAAACTGGCAAACACATAACTCAGAGAGCTGACTCCCAAGTGAAAACAACGGCCATCAATTCTCACAGACCTGACCTCAGTACCCAGTAAACAGCAGCCTCCTGTCTATCATTTCTGTCTCACAGGCCTGACCTTGATATCCAGAAAATACCAGTCTCCTGCCCATCATTTCTGTCTGACAGGCCTGACCTTGTATCCAGAAAATACCAGTCTCCTGCCCATCATTTCTGTCTCATAGGCCTGTCCTCTTGTCATGTGCACAACTACCCTTTGTCCATTACTTTTAAAAGTCATGCTTTCGTTTTCTTAAACTGTGAATAATACTGCTTTCCTTATTTCTTCTTTACTTATAAAATTATTGTAGGTTAAAGGTTCTTGTATTCCTTCATTTCATATACAGTGCATTTCTATGTCTTTAAATGAATGCGTGTATAAATAAATATGTACTGTGCACCTGTACACATATAATCCAGTCGCTTAAATTAATACATATGTAAATATATATATATAGTTTCAAGGCTATATTTGAGCTATTTGAGTAGCAAAGTAATGTTGAGTAAAAAACTAACAGAGTGTTTCAAAATTCCCTATGAGCATCAGTGACCCACCCACTGCCAAAAAAGCGACCTACCCAACAGTGGCTAGTGACACCAGGGCACACACCTCTGTGGCTCAATTAGCTCATTACTGAGACAAGCCACAGCTAACTCACACTGCAATGCGTTCTCACAGTCAGAATGGAGTCAGAGGCTATGGGGAGGCTGCACCTGGACCCGACTCCCTCCCCAAACCACATCTCCACCTGTCACAGGAGGGAGCCAAGAAGGGCTGCTGAGTAGTGACCATGCCCCACCTAGGATGTCAAGGCAGTCCTTGGCTGGTGAGAAGACAATGAAACTCACATTCTGTTCTTAGTGCCATGGTTTGTTAGAAACATTTTCCTAAGTGACCTCAGGGATCACTGGAAGCACAAGCTGCCCAGTCACAATTCTCAGAAGGAGCCAATGACTAATAATAACTGGCACATCCCATTTTTAACAGAAATGAACTAGAACCATGGGACAAGTCTCTGCTATGTTGGTATACAGCAACGCTGCTGAGTGGATGGTTAAGGGGACGCAGCCTCTGTTGATGGCTGTATACTAATCGGAGTGCTTTTAAAGCCAACCTTTTTCTCCATGTTTAGTTCATAAACTGATTCTCATAGCATAGCAGTCCAACTAAAGGAACAATGCCAGATTTTTTTTTGTATTAGAAATTTCATAGCATCATTATCCCAAAAGTGGCTTTTCCCCCCTTCCATTAAACAAAAACAAATTTTAAAATGTTAATTTTAAGTTATCAGTAGGTTCATGTGCATTCTTCATGCTGAGCTGCAGCCCTGGCCTCCCTCCTGGGCCCTGGCTGTGGCTGTGGCTGCCATAAATCTTTGTTTAATAATGTCTTTCTCATCGAAAACAGCAACATGGCAAGAACCCTGGACAAGGTGTCAAGAGCCTGGTTCTACTTCATCTTTGCCAATTACGACATGGTAAATGTGGGCAAGTCCATGCCATGCGAATATGAAGATCGAATGCACTAAATGCCTACAAAAAACAAGAACAGGACATATTCTGCTGCATTTAAATCCTGGTTTCTTCATTTTACAAATGAGAGGAAACTGAGGCACAGAGAAGTTTGGTTACTTGCTGTGTGTCCTTAAAAACCTGCTCAAGATCCCACAACTGGCGAAGGGCAGACCCAGCTCCCTCATCTGTGTGACTCAGACTCCAGCGCTGTGTTGCCCACAAGGCCTAGGACCAGAGAACAGGACCCCAGGGTTCCTGTCTATGATTCTTCTGACCTGTTGTTTAATTCTACTGACAGGGAAGAGGGAAGCAGGTGAGGCTCCCAGACTATAATGGAAATGGCTCAGCAGCTGCTATGGACGCCCACAACCAATGGCAGCCACAGCCAGGTTCCAGGAGGGAGGCCAGGGCTGCAGCTCAGCATGAAGAATGCACATGAACCTACTGATAACTTAAAATTAACATTTTAAAACTTGTTTTTGTTTAATAGAAGGGGGAAAAAGCCACTTTTTGGATAATGATGCTATGAAATTTCTAATACAAAAAAAATCTGGCATTGTTCATTTAGTTGGACTGCTATGCTATGAGAATCAGTTTATGAACTAAACCTAGTATATAAAAGTTGTGGCCAGGTATGGTGGCTCATACTTATAATCCCAGCACTTTGGGAAGCCAAAGTGGGAGGATGGCTTGAGCCCAGGACCAGTTTGAGACCAGCCTGGGCAACATAATGAGACATCATCTCCACACACACACACATGCACATACACACACAAATTAGCCAGGGTGGCACATGCCTGGTCCCAGCTACTTAGGAGGCTGAGGTGGAGGCTCATTTGAGCCTATGAGGCAGAGGTTGCAGTGAACAGTGGCAGAGCCATTGCACTCCAGCCTGGGCAACAAAGTGAGCCTTATCACACACACAGAAAAATTGTGAGGTTTTTTTTGTTGTTTTTGAGACAGAGTTTCACTCTTGTTGCTCAGGATAGAGTGCAACAGTGCAATCTCGGCTCACTGCAACCTCCACCTCCTGGTTTCAAGCGATTCTATTACCTCAGCCTCCCAAATAGCTGGGATTACAGGTGTGCACCATCATGCCCAGCTAATTTTTCTATTTTTAGTAGAGATGACGTCTCACCATGTTGTCCAGGAATGGTATGGAATTTCTGACCTCAAGTGATCCACCCACCTTGGCCTCTCAAACTGCTGGGATTACAGGCATGAGCCACTGCACCTGGCTTAACTTGTGAGGTTTGAGTAAAAGTCATTTATAAATGAAACTTATTTTTTTAAAATTAGAAAAACAAGTAAAATTGAATGCAACTAAATTGCAGCCACAGATAAACCAATAATAACGATCAGATGGCACCAGAAGCAGAATCTTAAGCTTCTATCCACAGCTGACCTGACCTTGGGATTTTCTAACAGGAAAGAATACCTAGTGCCCAGATCCACAAGGGTGCAGCCACAGAGAAGAGCTGTGGAACTTAGCTGTGATTGGACCATTCTGTGAAATTAAAGAAATAAGCACTCCTGGATGGCACGTTCGAATACAAACAGAGGCTGCGCATCTCCTAGGTGAGGTGCATCCTCTCCTTCACAGAAGTTCTTTACTGAACACTTGCTACAGGCAAGGCGTCAGGAGGGGATCCAGGAAGGTGCCAGGTGGCCCCACCCTTGAGCCACCAGCCATCTGGGAGGTAGGCCAGGAGAGGGCCCAAACTGCTAACACCAGAAATTAATAATGTTTATAGAGAACTACATGAGCTATTCTCATCAAATCATGAGACTAAAAAGGCAGATTTGAGAATTGCAAGTTGCGCAAAACTGGAATTGAGGCAGCACCTATTAGTATCTCGTCTGGCTGCTTATCCCAAAACCCTTAAAGAGACAAAGACAAACTACTGTATCATGAAAAGATCCTGACTAAAGTGCCTTCCTGATCCTTTCTGTAAAACTGCAACCATAATGGAGAAGAGAAGGCTGGACTGCACAGCTGTCTTCTGGACAGTGACAACTAATTGGTCATGTCTTTACCTGTAAATTAACAAGCTGCGAGGTGGATTTTCCTTGGAGGCACAAGGCCTGTGCAATAAATGCATGCAAATCCTCTAGGCAAAGAGTGTCCACCTGAAAAGGACAGAGAAAGGCCAGTGTTAAGCTACAGGAGAATTTAAAACATTTTCTTACAAATTGATCTCAGTTACTAAATACGAGTGTGTGTACAGTGCAAACATTCACACAGAAACATATGCAGGCATGTACAGGCACACGCACAGACACGCACAGGCACACACATGTACACAAAGGCACACGCACAGGTGCACACGCACAAACACAGGCACATGCACACACAAAGGTGCACACAGAGGCACAAGCACACACGGGCACACACACATGCACAGACACACATGCACAGGTGGACTCACAGACACACAAGCACACACACAGACGGACTCACAGACATGCATGCAAACACAGGCACACATGCACACACAAAGATGCACACACAGGTACACACACAGGTGCACAAACAGGCACATGCACAGGTGCGCAATGGTGCATCAGACCTCAGGCAGTGGGCAGGTGGAAGAGCACAGCCTCTTCACACCCACACCATCCCTGGCTCCTGGCTGTGAAGCTCTCTCTCTGGTGTCCTCAGTTGTGCACCCAACTCACAGCCTAGCTAGAAGGGGAGCCTGAATTCCTAGTCGGGCTAGACTCCAACAAGGTAAAAGTCTCCAGAACATCTGGGAATAATCATGAGGTGCCAACCAAGATCAAGTCTTAGAGCCAGACAGATGATCATGTTTGGCACAAACTGCACAGAGCAAACAGAGGTTTTCAGAGAGAGAGAGAGAGAGAGAGAGAGAGAGAGAGCACATCCACAGCTGGGCTGAGCTGCAGTCACCATCCACTTTTGGCAACCCAGAGGAAACCTGTGTCCTCGGATCCCAGTTGACAGTAAATCAGAACCCACAATATGAGACCCCACCAATCCTCTGTGGAATCAAAAGACACAACACAAGAGAGAAGAGGAAGGAGGTACAGAGGAACAACAGACAGCAAGGGACAGAGTGAGAATCCTTGTGTGTGGAGATGATGGAGATAAGGAGAGGGCATGAAGAAAGAGGAGGATGTGGATGGTTCGGGCCTCATCAACAGCAGACAGTGCTTGCCATCCCTTCACCTGCCCAACACCGTGATGAGGTCGGGACATTCCTCTCCTAGCCACCAAGTTCTGCTACCCAGACAAAAGCAGAACATGCCTGCTGACTGAACGATTCCACAGCATCCTAAGACCACAAGAGCTGCGTCTCACAGAAGAGCACCTTCTGTGGCAAGTGAAGGCTTGAGGAAAAAGTAACAGGAAAACCAACAGCAAACCCATCAATTACAATTTCACTGATTGTTCTTGAATATTAAAAATGGCTAATATGACTATTTGCAATAAAAACGACCGCACCATAAATCAGAAAGACTCCTGTGCTCCCCTGGAGGATGTTGGCATTTGCTTCTGCAGGGATGGGGTTGCTGACTGCCGCTGAGACCTGCTGATGCTCTTACTGACCATGTCACTATTCTAGTCTACTTTTATTCCAAGTAGGCGTTACCCTGGAATAAAAGGAACATAAAATAGGTCCATTTCTATGATGTAAACTTACCTTTCCAGAGGATATTCTCAGAAGAGTCTTTAATAAAATCATTTGTGGCTGTTGTTAACTGAGAGGTCAGACCAAATGAGAGTACAGCTGACCTCTGAACAATATAGGTTTGAATTGCGTGGGTTCACTTATATGTGGATTTTTTTTCAACCAAATGCAAATGGAAAAAATACAGTATTCACAGGCCATAAAACCCAAATATACAGAGGGCTGACTTTTCAAAAACGTGGGCTCCACGGGCTGACTTCAGGACTTGAGTATGCGTGAATTTTGGCATACCTGGGTGTCCTGGGACCAATCCCCCACATATACCGAGAGACTAATGTCTTTAGTTTCTCTGTCATTTTCATGCACTGAATCAGATGCAATTCTACCCCATATTACACATCAAAACATCTAATTTAGGCTTAACTATGTAAAACTGTAATATTTCTATAAATGTATCCTTCTAGCCTTATTAATTATCCCTTAGTTATAACACAGGATCTTCTTACTCTAGTATCACTGATTTGTCAATTTGTTGTTTCCTAGTTTTAAAAAGTTCCAATTTAAACATCTCTTTTAAAGATAAGTTACCAAGTCTGCTCATGCCAATTTGCACTAAAGAGATTTCATTTAAAAGGTCTTTATTAATAGAAAAAAGGTAAAGTGGAAATTTTCCTCCTGATGCTTGTTTTGCCTCAGGTTTATAAAAATCGGGATGTGAAGTTACTTTTCTGGGTTCCTGGCCTTTTTCTGCTTGAAGTGAATTTAAATAACTGACATTCACCTGCACAGTCACCGAGAAGGTAGAGCTGCGCCACATGACCACACACAGGATTAGCAAGCACAGTTAATGTGGAGCAGTGGGCAGCATGTCCCTCCTGGAGTGCTGTGACAGTCACCTGCACAGTCATTGAGAAGGTAGAGCTGCATCACATGACCACACGCAGGATCAGCCAGCACAGTTAATGTGGAGCAGCGCGCAGCATGTCCCTCCTGGAGTGCCGACAATGGTCTCCCTATCATTGTGCACATTACGTGGTAACAAGGACAAAACACATGTTATTTTTAAGGGTGAGAAAAGTCAGGTTACTGGCTACCCACCACTTCCCAAGTCCCACTATGACTCAACTTTAACTACAGACACCTGTAGATTATTAGACAATAGAAAATATTAACCAATAGTACATGCAGGCATATTTAGTATATAGTAACAAAAGAAATACCTTTTTACTTTTTTTTTCCCTCCAATGTTTAAGTATGGGGTACATGTGCAGGATGTGCAGGCTTATTACATAGGTAAACATGTGCCATTTTATATCCTAAGACTTGGCTGAAGTTGCCTCCCGAGGATAAAATCAACTTGATCCTGTTGGATAAGCTTTTTGATCTGCTGCTGGATTTGGTTTGCTGGTATTTTATTGAGGATTTTTGCATCGACGTTCCTCAAGGATATTGGCCTGAAGTTTTCTTTTTTTGTTCTATGTCTGTCAGGTTTTGGTATCAGGATGATGTTGGCTTCATAGAACAAGTTAGGAAGGAGTCCTTCCTTTTCAATATTTTAGAACAGTTTCAGTAGAAATGGTACTAGCTCTTCTTTGTACCTCTGGTAGAACTCAGCTGTGAATCCATCTGGTTCTGGATTTTTATTTTTATTTTTTTGGAAGGCTATTTATTATTGCCTTAATTTCAGAACTCATTACTGGTCTATTCAGAGATTCAATTTCTTCCTGGTTCAATCTTGGGAAGGTGTATATTTACAGGAATTTATCCATTTCTTCTAGATTTTCTAGTTTATGTGCACGGAGGTGTTTATAGTATTCTCTGACGGTTGCTTGTATTTCTGTGGGGTGAGTGGTGATAACCCCCTTATTTCTGATTGTATTTAATTCTTCTCTCTTCTTTATTAATCTCGCTAGTGGCCTATTTTATTTTTTCAAAAAAATCAGATCCTGGATTCGTTGATTTTTTTTAAGGGTTTTTCTTTTGTCTCTATCTCCTTCAGTTCAGCTCTGATCTTGGTTGTTCCTTGTCTTTTGCTAGCTTTGGGATTTTCTTTTGTTCTTGGTTCTCTAGTATTTTTAGTAGAGATGTTAGATTGTTAACTTGAGGTCCTTCTTGTATTTAGTGCTATAAATTTCTCTCTTAACATTGCTTTAGCTGCATCGTAGAGATTCTGGTATGTTGTCTTTGTTCTCATTAGTTTCATTATTTACCCAAGAGTCATTCAAGAGCAGGTTGTTCAATTTCCATGTAGTTATGTGGTTTTGAGTGAATTTCCCAAACCTGAGTTCTAATTTGACTGATCTGTGGTCTGACAGACTGTTATGATTTCAGTTCTTCTGCATTTGCTGAGGAATGTTTTTACTTCAATTATGTGTTCAATTTTAGAGTAAGTGCCAAGTGGCAATGAGAAGAATGTATATTATGTTGAATTTGGGTGGAGAGTTCTGTAGAGATCTATCAGGTCCATTTGATCCAGAGCTGAGCTCAGGTCCTGAATATCTTCGTTAATTTTCTGTCTTGATGATCTAATATTGTCAATGGGATGTTAAAGTCTCCCACTATTATTGTGTGGGACTCTCTTTGTGGATCTCTAAGAACTTGCTTTGTGAATCTGGGTGCTCCTGTACTGGGTACATATCTACACAGAATAGTTAGCTCTTCTTGTTAAATTGAACCCTCTACCATATGTAGTACCTTTTCTTTTTCGATCTTTGTTTAAAGTCTCTTGTCAGAAATTACGATTGCAACCCCTGCTTTTTTCTGTTTTCCAGTTGCTTGGTAAATTTTCTTCCAAGCCTTTATTTTGAGCCCATGTGTGTCTTTGCACATGAGATGGGTCTCTTGAAGACAGCATATGGATGGGTCTTGGCTCTTTATCCAGCTTGCCATTCTGTGCTTTTTTTTTTTTTTTTGTTTAGATAGTTTTGCTATTGTTGCCCAAGCTGGAGTTCGTGATGGCACAATCTCAGCTCACTGCAACTTCCACCTCCCAGGTTCAAGTAATTCTACCGCCTCAGCCTTCTGAGTAACCGGGATTATAGGCATGCACCACCACACCTGACTAAATTTTTGTATTTTTAGTACAGACAGGGTTTCACCATGTTAGCCAGGCCGGTATTGAACTCTTGACCTCAGGTGATCCTCCCACCTCAGCCTCGCAAAGTGCTGGGATTACTGGTGTGAGCCACCATGCCCAGCCCATTCTGTGCCTCTTAACTGGGGCATTTAGCCCATTTATGTTTACTATTGTTATGTGTGAATTTGATCCTGTTATCATGATGTTAGCTCGTTTCTACAGACTTGCTTATGTGGTTGCTTCATCGTATCACTGGTCTATGTATTTCATTGTTTTTGTAGTGGCTGGGAGTGGTTTTGCCTTTCCATATTTAATGCTTCCTTCAAGAGCTCTTGCACGGCAGGCCTGTTGGTGACAAATTCCCTAAGCATTTGCTTGCTGGAAAAGAATCTTATTTCTCC